CTGGTGCCAGCACCTCATGCCCTAATTTCCACGGGGTGTTGCAATGAGGGCCAGGTGTTCACCTTGGCGTGCAGTGAGGTTGCACCACGGAAAGGAACTCTGAAATAAGGCTTGTAACTGACATAGAACAGCTGATGTATCAGCCCAATCGTTCTCTATGCTCGTGCATGCAACAGAGAAAAAGAGAAGCCCCACCTTTACATTGAAGGGAAGGGCAGGGGTGAGGTGAAAGAAGGTAAAATTCTTCTACATATTCAAATTATTTGCTTTTATTAGAAATTAAATGTTTATAGTAATCCTTTGTTTGACATCTCAAAGACAAGCATGTCTCCTACTTTGTTCCCCATGGCAGACCAGTGGTGATGCAGCACCAGGAATAAGGTTACTGCTCAATAAATAACTGCCAGATGAAGTCTGAGGCTTAGGAACCATTTTCTGATAGAGTTCTCTGTCAGTTCACTGTGATTATAACAAACACACAGTACATGCATATAGAGAAGGGCTGGGCCTGCATATTCCTAATTATGGCCCATGATTCAGGTCACAGTGCAGGGGTTCTAAATTGATGTCTCCTGTGCCTTACTCCTGAATCCTCTCGGCCTCTATTCTGAATGCAGCCACCCCTGCTAGGACCAATTCCACATGGACTCTGACTAGCTTTGTGCATGTGAAACTTATGGGCTATTTTTAGTCACTCCTTGGAACTTGGACCTACTGCCCTAGGTTTCTGTACTTCTGCTGCTACCTGGAACATCTGGAAGAACCTGTCTGGTACTCAGACTTGTGCAACCAGAATCGCAGGAGAGTTATTACCCATTGAACCAACCTTGTGTTAAAAAATTATACCTGGGGGGCGCCTGGGAGGTTCAGTCGGTTAAGCGTCTGCCTTCGGCTCAGGTCATGGTCCCAGGGTCCTGGGATCGAGCCCTGCATCGGGCTCCCTGCTTGGCGGGAAGCCTGCTTCTCCCACTCCCACTTCCCCTGCTTGTGTTCCCTCTCTCGCTATGTCTCTCTCTGTCAAATAAATAAATAAAATCTTTAAAAAAAAATTATACCTGGGATTTAGTTTATGGAGGTATGACAAAGAAAACATGGAGAGGCCAATGTCATTGAAAGAATAATTTATTATTTCTATTTCCAGAAAGAAGGGGACATGCAACCCCATGCCAGGACTCACGGGAAACACCAGGATGATCAAGAGGCAGGTGACAGGGTAGATGAAAGTGTGGTTTGATCTTTATTGGGATTTCCTTTGTCAAAGGCAAGACAGGGCAGAATAAACAGTCCAGGATTGGCTTTGGGCAATCTGGTTGCCTGGTATCTGGCCTTGAAATGATTTAGGGCTGAAGAAATATTGGCTTGGTATATGAGAGATAAGGGGGGGTGTGAGGGCACAGCCTTGGGTCCATCCGTCTATACATTAGAGTCAGGTTTTAGGCAATTGTCCACCACCCCCAGGAAATTAGCCAGCCTGAAGAGGCAATCTCTTTCCAGGTGTGTAAAGCCCCAAAGAATGTCAAAACATTATAATATACAGAAAAGAAAAAGTATAATTAATATAACTTGAACAATGAATGATGAGAGCAAATGCATAAATTCCTCTCACTTCCATTTCTCAAAGCCAAAAGTTATGAGATGCCTTTCAGAATGTTCCTCATATATCCCATGACGTTAAACACCCATACCTTGGTGGTGGTGACACAATTGTCTCTCCTTATATTAGTTTTTCCTTTTTTCCTCCTTCCTTGTCTTTCAATGTATATCCCCGGGATCACATTTCCATATAACTACCTGCATGCAAGCCTTTGGCTCAAATCTTGCTAAAGTTCAGACAGGTTGGATGTATAGGTCTGGACTTGTACATAGACAGAAATGGAAAAAGGATTTGGGCGTCAAATCTCACAAAAACCTCTGCTGAATTTTACGTGGAACTGCTTATTTTACATAGCTATGCTGCTGAAATTTACCAATCAGAATTATTTGGATTAACAGTGATTCCCCCCCCCCCCATGAGAAGTACAAGTACCTTAGGTACAAAATATGTGACTTATTGTAGTTGCGATGAGAGAAAAACAAAGACAAAGACAGAACTCAATGAGACCAATACTTAATAACATTTCTCAGAAACTGAGGCATAATCCACTGTCTGCAAGACAGTCTGTTTTGGTTGGTAAGGCATTCCCATCTCTACCCTATTATTAGTAGGAAGAGAAATACAAAGTGGTGATTGATTTGGGATATAAAAAAATAATATAAATCCCTCCTGTTTTCTAATACAATCCCTACCATATTCTCAATTCCCAGCTTCAGCACCATGGTTTTCCTTCCTTCCTGAGCTTGTGTAATCATTGGTTGTCATTCTGCTTCTTTAACAGGTCCTAGACAGTATAAAGTACTATCCTTTTCAAAAATATCTTTGATTAAAAATTTTCAGGTGTATTCACAGTTAGTAATGATTATATAACCAATATAGCTAATAAGTAGGCTCTTCAGAGTATTAAGCATCAAGTCTTCATATTCACTAATCTTTTTAAAACAGTGTTCTCTCACTTAGAAGGATAAAATAACATATATGCAAGTACAATTGATTTTCAGGGAGAGAGATTATTCTAGTTGCCTAAATATTAATAACTATTCCTTCCTTGGGTAGCATGTAAAATCATCTTCTAGTAGCTTTGATGAGCTCTTGTAGTACTTATGTGTTGCACATTCTCATATAGATGTTTCTGACAACAGATTTGACAATAGGTTAAAATAGATCCAAAGTTACTTGTGTTTAAACTAGTAACCAACTTTCAGTCATATGTTATCTTTTTTGTTAAAGTCTCAATTTACCTATTTAGTAACATGTTAACTATGATGGAATACCACAATGAAGAGAAAAATGATGACATAATTTACTGTATAAAGTTCAAAATTTTATATGTAGGGAAACAAAATCTGGAGAACAGAGAGTTTGCACCAAAACCCAAAACAAGACAATAATCATCCACCATAACAAAATGGGAAATAATAGGCAATTGAGAAAATAGGTTATTTTAACAAACTGAGTTCTTTTTTTTTTTTAAGATTTTATTTATTTATTTGACACAGAGACACAGCGAGAGAGGGAACTTAAGCAGGGGGGAGTGAGAGAGGGAGAAGCAGGCTTCCCATGGAGCAGGGAGCCCGATGCGGGGTTCGATCCCAGGACCCTGGGATCATGACCTGAGCCGAAGGCAGACGATTAACGACTGAGCCACCCAGGCGCCCCAACAAACTGAGTTCTATAAGTCTAGAGGGTGCAATGGAAAGTATCTGGAGCTCTGCATCATTCTTATTATGAAAAACTAGCTTGGCCAATACTTTTTGGGGGAAATATCCAGAAACATCTCGGCTATCATACCAGAGAGAAGGGTTACTTCTCACAAACAAGTGTGACTTCCTAACCTTTTCCTTTGTAGAAATGGCCCCCCTTATTTTCCACTCCTCAAAAGATCACATTATTAGGAGTGTCTATGAAATGCTACTTCTCTCCATCCACTATAGTTAATTCAGTCAATTTACGTTTTGTCCCATTTGTTTTTATTACTTTTTCTTTATTTTTGTGACTATTTTGCTACACTATATCCTAGTGATCAGATGGGATAGCCGCAATTCCTTGCTTATTCTGATTTTGTCTTCTGAAACTTATTATGCACTTTGATTGTCAGGTAATTTCTACTCTTTTCTTCCAGTATCCATAGTATATGCCTGTGGCTTTCATATTAAAATAAAACTCGGTTTTAGCATTTGAAACCTCTATCAATTCTTTTTCATTTATTCAAACTTTCATTTTTTTTTCACTTATTCATCCAAATAAGACTATATTTGAGTGCTTAGTAAAACTTCTGTCCTGGGTCCTAAGGATGCAGCTATTATAGAAAATAAAGTTTTACCATCATGGAGCTCCCACACTGGTGTAGGAAGGCAGACAAGAAACAAAGAAACTAACAGAGCATGTGATAGGTGGAGATAAGTGATATGAAGAAAAAAATAAAGCAGGATAAAAAGGATAGAGATTGTTGAGTGGGCACAAATTTACACAAAGAAGTCAAAGAATATCCTGACAGTCAGAGAAGGTGGCACTGGAAAAAAGACCGGTAGGAGGTGAAGAGATGAGGTAGGCAGTGATTTGGGGGAAGAGCATCCTTGACGGAAAGGAAACAATGCTCTGAAAATCATGACTCATGGGTGTGTTTTAGTGTTTGAGGAAGAGCAAGGAGGCCGGTGTGAAAGGGGAGAGTGGGAGGAGAGCAGGGCAAAGGGAGTGAGGGATCCAGATCACGTCAGCTGCATGAGCCACATATATAAATGCTGTGGGTTTTGCCCTGGGAGAGAGCACAAGCCATTTTAAGTTTGAGCAGAGGAGAAACATGATCTGACTTACAATTGAAAAGATCCCTCTGGTCATGATGTGAACATTACTTATACCAGAAAGAGAGCAAGGGTAGGAGCATCTCTTTTTCCAACAGTTAGAGGGCAGATTTAGTCTGTGGATGAGGCCCTGGGAAAACCTGCATATGAAAGCTTTATTTCAGCTCTGGAAGTCACCACCTCTCTCTCCTGAAAGAGAACAACACTGACAAACATGACGCTTAAGCATTCATTATCAAGTGTGGACCAGAGGAGGGCAAACAGTGTGTATTTGCTATAAAACTGTAGTCAGTGGAAACACACACACAAGAAGACAAATCAGTATGTATTCCATCTGCCAGTTCTGTTTTATGAGTTTTAAAAATTTAGTTGACTGTCAGTATTTAGTTTTAAAATGTTCTGGATTTTGGTTATAAATCAGCAAGACATACTGCTCTAAATGTCATGTAATTAGGTTATATAGGGTGACAACAAAAGAGCCATATAATTTTAATGTCTGTTTATTGATTTCACAGGGATTTATAATAGCTTAAGATAATTTCCTTTAGATGCTAAACATTTTAAGTATTGATAAATTTAAAAAATCAAGAACTATTAATTGAGGAAAAATAATCATAGCATTAATTTGAATTTAATGTTAGAATGCATGGATGGAATCCGAACAAGTGAGCATAAATCAAAAATATCAACAAGAAAACTATATGGTTATGATCACATTAAAATTTTGAAATTACTGTTGCTCAACAAATTAGAACCGTTCATCTTTAGTTCATTAATTAAACATTGGGAACACTCTGAAATGTTGGATTAAAGATTTCAAGAATTATTTGAAAAAGCTCTAGAACTTCCTTCCTTACATCATGATTCTTCATTAAAATTGTCCATACAGTCAATAAAAATGAACCTGGAAAAGATATAAAATTATTACATGTAAATTCAAGTTAATACTTAATTGTTAAAATGTTTATTTTGCATATATATTTTGTATATAAAAATTTTGCATGTATTTTGCATATAAAATTAACATTCATTACTTGATAATTATACACATGAAGTTTTTAAATTTAAAATTTATTGACCAACTCATTATAAAAATTAATAAGAAATACAAATAATCAGAAAACTAGGAAAAGTGCATAAACACATAGAAAGAATTGTAAATTCATCAACAAAACTAAAAGGCAACCTCAGAATGGGAGAAGATATTTGCAAATGACATATCAGATAAAGGGATAGTATCCAAGATCTGTAAAGAACTTATCCGACTCAACACTCAAAGAACAAATAAGCCAGTCAAGAAATGGGCAGAAGGCATGAACAGACATTTCTCCAAAGAAGACATACAAATGGCCAACAGACACATGAAAAAATGCTCCACATCACTTGCCATCAAGGAAATACAAATCAAAAGCACAATGAGATATCACCTCACACCAGTCAAAATGGCTAAAATGAACAAGTCAGGAAACAACAAATATTGTTGAGGATGTAGAGAAAGGGGAACCCTCTTACACTGTTGGTGGGAGTGCAAGCTGGTGCAGCCACTCTGGAAAACAGTATGGAGGGTCCTCAAGAAGTTGAAAATAGAGGTACCCCATGACCTAATAATTGCACTACTAGGTATTTACACAAGAGATACAAATGTAGTGATCCGAAAGAGCAACTGCACCCCAATGTTTATAGCAGCAATGTCCACAATTGTCAAACTATGGAAAGAGCCTAGATGTCCACTGACAGATGAATGGATAAAGATGTGATATATACATACAATGGAATACTACTCAGCCACCAAAAAGGATGAAATCTTACCATTTACAATTTACAATGAGCAAAATAAGTCAATCGGAGAAAGACAATTATCATATGGTTTCACTCATATGTGGAATATAAGAAACAGTGCAGAGGATCATAGGGGAAGGGAGGGAAAACTGAATGGGAAGAAATCAGAGAGGGAGACAGACCTTAAGCGACTCTTAACTATAGGAAACAAACTGAGGGTTGCTGGAGGGGTAGGTGGGTGGGGGGATGGAGTAATTGGGTGCATGAAGGAGGGAACATGATGTATTGAGCAGTGGGTGTTATATAAAACTGCTGAATTACTGAACTCTACATCTGAAACTAATGATGTACTATATGTTGGCTAATGAATTTAAATTAAAAAAAGAAAGAATTATAAATTCGTACAACGGTGAAGAAGCATTTTCTGCATAAGAAACTAACCTAAGTTAGAGAAATTGCTATACAGTAGTGGCTTAAAGGAAACAGAAGCCTCAGTTCAGTTTTATGACAAAAATGTAAACTCCTGAAAACTATTTTAAGTACCACTCAGCAATATATGACTCATTGACTTTAATTCATTTCCTTTCTACAAATGTATTGGTAAAATCATAAACCCTATGCCAAGAAAAACATACATAAAATGCCATTATTACATTATTGACAAAGCTTATAAGAGAAAATAATGCCTACAGTTATAGTAAATTTATTAAATGAAATGCTACATATCCTTTAAGCAGAAGGAGTTGGATCAATATTTCCTGATATCAAAGAGCTTCAAGAAAATTTTCTAGTAAAAAAATATAGTGCAAGGCAGTGAGTATGATTTCATTTGTGCAAACAACATAGGTTTTATTTATCCACTTATATACACTGTTTTATGTACAAACACATTCTAGGAATTTGCACCACTTTTAAAAATTGGGTGAAGGGCCAAGAAATGTAAATGAAGAGAGGTGGGAAGAAGACTTTAATTTTCATTTAATGTGTCAAAGCACTTAGACATTTAAAGTTTGAATACAATAAATATAGTTTAAGATAAATCAGTAAAAGTAACAGCAATTTAAAAGAAAAAGAGTTTTTAAAACAATTTTTGAAGAGAAGAAATATTTCAGGTTAGATCTGTTAACATATGAGAGGTAACAGTTCGAAAGTGTCCAGAACGCTTGGTCCCAGGTCTACTTCTGTTTTCTTCCTACACTCTGGGGATGGGAGGATAATGCTTAATTGTAAACAACATTTACTCCTTTCCATGGAGATGGAGCATGTTACCTGATTGGTGGATGAAAGTATTTGGTTCATGTTTCTCAATTAGCTAGAGTTAATCTGTTATAAAGTCCCAAGACCCAAGGATAGTTCTTTTCTCTTCTATTTAAACTAGTGAGGAAGTTAGGCTAGTTTTAAATCTTCATATTTGATCAATGTTGAGTCAGTCAACACATCCAACAAGAAAGCAAAGGGCTGACACTAGAGTTCAGACTTATCTAGAGGGTAGATTTCAGTATATAGGAGGATGATGTGTTAAAGAGAAGGAACACAGGCTTTAACATAATATGCCAGGATGCAAATTTATTGTCTCATTTCCAGCTGGTGAATTATTTAAACTTACAAAACCTCTGTTTCTTTATTAGTAAAATATTGGCAATAAAGTTTTCTTACACCAAAGAAAAATGTTATTAAAGTATAGATTACTGGTTATTTAAAAATACATGGGAAAAGACAAACATACAAAGGCATTATCATACAACTGATTTCTATACTCAATACTTTCGGAATACAAAACAGTGATCATTACCCCCAAAAAATCAGTTTATTGAAACAAACTGATTTTTAAGTTGGTCTAAAACTCTCTTCACTCTTTTGTTTACAAATGTTACTAGGTTTTTCAGTTTCATCTCGTATCCGAGCTTTGTTTTTTGACATGTTTACTTCTCAAAGTAGGATGTAGTTATCTCTTGGAGTTAATGTCAGCAGCTATGAGAACGTTCTCTAAGTCAAGAATTCAATACAATTGCTGCTTTGGAAAGAGTTACCACTTTGGCTTACCTACACCAAGACTCATGTATTGAAAGGCAAATATTAATGGGCAAAATACAGGGGTTGAGAGCAGGAGGACTAAGAAAAGATGTTTTCTTTTACTTTGGACCTGCTAAAAAAAACCCACTCCATTATTTACTTTTGTACTGTTGCTGGAGAAGGGGTTTCTGCCAGACCACAGGTCAGCTATATAGTTGTTCATTTTATTTCCTTTTATAAAAAATGGCAGACTTTAATAATTTGAGTAAGCAGAGGCTTTTAAATTACCATATACTTTAACTGCATGAAATAAATTATTTTCTTAACGGTTTTAGCAGCCTTTTGTCTGGAAAGGTAGCAAAATCCACTTTGTTCCAGATTTAGAAGGCTGACTCCCAGGCTGTTTGTAAGATGCCCAGAGTCTTCTAACACCAGTCATGACAGTGGGCCTTCCTGAACCCAGTAACTTAATAAATGTAAAAATGACCTCATCTATCAATACAATGTGGAGCTAGCAAAACCAATGAAGTACACTCATACAATAGGGATTGGCTGGTATAAAACAAGAGAGTATATTTCCTCTTAAATAATGCAAGGAGATATGTGGTAATCAAAACAATTTATAATAAACTTGTGAAGAGATGATTCTGGTTTACATGTAAGTCTACTTAAACTGACCATGACGAAATGATTGGAAATTTTCTTCTCTTAACATAATCCCATTCATTACAAGCTAAGCTGGTCTTGGTCTCTTATAAATCTGGTATTTCCTTGGATTTATCTATTACACCCTCACTTTATAGCCATTTAGTTTATAAGCTGGGCTTGCCTAGCTTGCTATAAATCCTCTCTTCAGAAAGATCCCAGGTACATTAAACAGAGGCATCTTCTAGTAAAAATCTTCACTTCTTAACAGCATGTGAAGAACCAGCAACTGGCCCTCGAATTAAATACCTCTCATTTCACATTATCACAGAAACAGTGCAGTTTACTAACCATTCTTTCCTTAGAGAAAACTCAATAATAATAAAAATTTTGGTTCAGTTTCAAAACATTTTAATAGTTATTAATTCCAAGCATCCAAACACCATGTAACTTTGGCATTTTTGGAATTAGCAGCCCAGGAGAGAAGCTTTGTTTAGACGTGAGTTGGATCATACTTTGTATAGAGACTTGCCAGAAAATAAAGAATTGTTGGGAAAATTGTACAAAACTTCTGTGCAGAGGTAACCTGCACTCCACAGTCCATTGTTCCCAGGGAGTTAGGAGCCTTGCTTTACTGTGGTCAGGAGTCTCAAAAGGCATCCCTTTTACTGCATGCAAAAATCATACATCCCAGAATACGTATAATATTCGTTAAGGTATAAGCGACAGGAACACTGAAGAAGGGACTACTGAGGAAGATAATATGAAGCAAGCCAACTGCTGACATATATGTCAGCCACCTACCCCAGCTGTTCATTACACAGGTACATGGATTCACCTCACTTTGGACAACTCTAATATTCATATTTGCTCCACCGCCCCACACTGGGCAGCTGGCTGAGAGCAGGACCAGCTCCGTGGTGTCTCTTCAAAGCCAAATGCCTATGATCAGCTCCAGCCTTGGCAATATATTTTTATAAAAGTATTGTAGTGATATTTATATATGATAAAGGGAAAAAAAGCACCTGACACAATTTCAGGCACATGGTAGGTGTTTAATAAGTAGGAGTTAACCACTTAACTTTACATCTTAACTTTATATCGCACCCCATTGTGTACTTTCAATTTAATGCAATAGATTATCAGATTGAAAATTTAGTAAGTTTTTTAATTGAAATATAATTGACATATAACATTGTGTTAGTTTTGGGAGTACAATGTAATTATATATATAAATATATATATAAACATATATATATGATTATCACAATAAGTTTAGTTAACATCTGTCACCAGATATGGTCACAGATTTTTTTCTTGTGATGAGAACTTTTAAGATATACTCCCTTAGCAACTTGCAAATATATAATACAATATTGTTAACTACAGTCACCATACCATACGTTACATCTCCCTGACTTATTTATCTTCTATCTGGAAGTTTGTACCTTTTGACCACCTTTGCCC